GCGACTGCCTTCGGCTCGGGTCATGATCCTGGAGTCCCGGGATCGAGTCCCGGGATCGAGTCCCGCGTCGGGCTCCCTGCTCGGCGGGGAGTCTGCTTCTCCCTCTGACCCTCTTTCCCTCTCGTGCTCTCTATCTCTCATTCTCTCTCTCTCAAATAAATAAATAAATAAATCTTTAAAAAAAAAATCATGGATAAACAAACTGTGGATTCATACAAGGGAGTATTATTCAGCAATAAAAAGAAATGAACTAGCAAGCCAGGAAAAGACATGGAGAAATCTTAAATGCATTTTGCTAAGTGAAAGGAGCTAACCTAAAAAGACTTCACAGTGGGGACCCTGGGTGGCTCAGTGGGTTAAGCATCTGCCTTCGGCTCAGGTCATGATCCCCGGGTCCTGGGATAGAGCCCTGCGTTGGTCTCCTTGCTCAGAAGGGAGTCTGCTTCTCTCTCTCTCTGCCCCTCCCCCCAGTCGTGTTTTCTCTCTCTCTCTCTTTTTGACAAATAAATAAAGTCTTAAAAAAGACTTTACACTGTATGATTCCAACTACATGACATTCTGGAAAAGGCAAAACTATGGAGACAATAAAAAAAACCAATGGTTGCCAGGGAGAGAGGGGGTGAAGGAAGGGATGGACAGTGGGGCAATGAGGGATTTGAGCAGAGAGACACTGCTCTATAGGACGCGACAATGGTGGATACACCTCATTATACCTTAGTCAAAGCCCGGAGAATGTTACACCACGAGAAGTGACCCCTCTGGTAGATGATGGACTTCAGTTAATAATAACGATCAATATGAGCTCATGAACCGTAACAAATGTCCCACACTAAAGCAAGATATTAACAAAAGGGGAACCTGGCGTTGGGGGCGGGGCACAAGGGAGTATATGGGAACTCTGTGCTTTTCTTTTCGTTTCGTTTGCTATAAATCTAAACTGCTCAAAACAATAGTCCATTTAGGGGCGAGTGGCTGGCTCAGTCAGTAAAGCCTATGACTCTTGATCTCCAGAGTGTTCCAGCCCCACGCTGGGTGTAGAGATTACTTAAAAAAACAAAAAACAAAAAAACAGTCTGAGACGAATCAGTCAAATGTGGTAGCATCTAAAGTGATGGCTAAGTGATCTGAGATTTTTAGTAACGAATTCACTTAGTATTAACAGAACTTCCCTGCTCAAGCAGCACTCATATTAACTGAAACCACACAGTATCAACTGCATTTGCACTAGTTTTACCATTCATGGTGAACGATCATGGAGATAGCCGTTTCTTACAGCAATCTTCCAAAACACAAACACAAATGCTATTGTCAAAGCCAGATTTCACTACATTTGACAATCATAAGAGTCGTTCTCATAAACGCATGATACCTCGTTTTCTGGGCTACAGACAGTATCTATGGTTATGCCCATTCACCCTGAGCACTGTGAGTTATTCCAGGCCTTTGGGATAAGGCAGGACATCCCAAAGGAAAAGGGGAATGCCGTGGGCAGAGAGAGAGGCAAGAGCACACTCCCTGAAGCACCTCTGGTGAGAACAAATCAGAAGTAACACACAGCCATCAATAATAGGGAACCAGATGAATCTAAAATGAGGAAGTGGACGTACATGCCCAGATACAGAAAATCCTCCGAGACATGGTAACTGGAAAGACATTCTGCGGTAATGCAGAAGATCTTACTGGTAAAGAAAACAAAACCTAATGTGTGTCATGGGGTGTGTGCACGCACACAGGAGCACACAGACAACATGTCTGCAGATGCCCAGGAAAACGTCTGGAAAGATACACAGTTACACCAAACGTTAGTCACCTCAGGGAAATGGATTTGGTGTGGTCTGTGCAAGAAGAGGAATCTGCTTGAATTTTTTTGATTTTTGATTTTTATTTATTTATTTTTAGAGGGGGGAGGGGCAGAGGGAGAGAGAATCCCAAGCAGCCTCCATGCCCAGCACAGAGCCAGATGCGGGGTTCCATCTCACAACTCTGAGATCATGACCTGAGCTGAAATCAAGACTCAAACGCTTAACCAACTGAGCCACCCAGGCGCCCCTGCTTTAATTTTTTTTTAAAAAGAGCGCCTATTAATTTTAACATAAAGAAAAAAACAATACAAGAATGGGGGAAAAAAATGAAGTGTCCTCAAAGAGCTAAACAAATTTGCAGAGGGAGGTGGTCTAGAAGAGCTGGGTTCTGCAGTGAGCCCAAAGCTAACAGGGGACCGAAACCCCTGGCACAGTCACTTGCTCTCATTAGTGATATCACCTGATGTCTTGTTAGCTGGCTAAACAAGACAACGTCCTTTTTTTTTTTTTTAAGATTTTATTTATTTATTTGACAGAGAAAGACACAGTGAGAGAGGGAACACAAGCAGGGGGAGTGGGAGAGGGAGAAGCAGGCTTCCCGCGGAGCAGGGAGCCCGATGTGGGACTCGATCCCAGGACCCTGGGGTCATGACCTGAGCCGAAGGCAGACGCTTAACGACTGAGCCACCCAGGCGCCGAACAAGACAAAGTCTTAATGGGCTCTAAAACTTATTCTTTCTTTCACACTTGATCTTAGCCAAAAGGCCAAGAAGCAATTATTATTCTTTCTTTCAGAATGAGCAAGCACAAGCTTTGACCTTGAGCTCCACTGCTCAAAGTAAACCCAGTCTACAGAAAGGAGGCTGTCAGTTGTCTGCATCTCCCACTAGGCATTTTCCATCATCCTCATCATCATTACCATCCTTGCCACCACCACCACCATCATCATCATCATGTGAACACTCGTCAAGTGCTCACTCTGTGTCAGGAACTACATTAAACACTTTACGTACATTCAATCACTTACAAATCTTCCAAAGTCAGAATCTACAGGGGAAAAAAAGGAGATGAATCCTAGGGAGCAATTTTCAGGAGCAGATAGAAGAAGAAGGGAAAACCTCTCCTCTTCCTTCTCTTGGTAAATGATAATATTTGTATTCCTTGCAGAGGGTGCCTCCCTGGAATATTGTTGTGACAGCAAAGGCAGATTCCTTGGACCACCTGGTGCTTTTCTCAGTGGCTTTCACTTTTTCCAACCTTTCGCTTTCTGGTCCATCTCTGAATGGATAGTTTTAGGAGCCCTTAATGGTTTTAGGAGCTTGTAAAGAGGTATCAAGCCAGCTGAGGCAGAAGAGGTGAGGAGAGGAGCGAAAGGGGAAAGGAATGGAGAAGAAGGAAGAGGAGAAAGTGAGAGAGAAGGGGAAGGGGGGGAAGGGGAAGACAGGGGGAGATGGAGCTTGAGTCTCCCACAAGAAACAGCACCCTATGCAACAGACAAACCACGTCCGGAATATCCTGCCTGTGGAGCAACACTATTGGACCCAGATGCAGCGTCCCTGTCACACACATCAGCCCAGAGTGCTGAACTGAACTTTAAAACACACGAGTCTATTATTAGTTCAAAAGGGATCTTTCTGGTGGTATTTTTTCCCATATGCATAAAATTCCCTTATTTCACAATGCTCTCGAAGCACGAGAGGAAATTAAAAAGCATGTTACACTTACCAAAGGATACACGTTGGCACTGTCATCCTTTTGAAACAAAATGTCCTCGCTGGTAGACACCAGTGATTTCTCCGGGATCTCTGCTTTGGACTGGAATTCTTTCTCTTGTTCGTCACTTAAGGATGATAATCTTTTCTCTTCTCTCCTTTCTCGTCCCAATTCATCTTGGGGCATCTGGTCGATTTTCTCCCTGAGCTCGCTTGAGGACTGTGTTTCAGGGAAACTAATATCTTGTTCCTCAGAACGGGTTTGATCCAAATCAAGAAATCTTAGTTCTGAGCTCAAGTCTCTTAAAAGCTCATTTGTTTCCGAATGCTCTGATTCTAATGCATGCTTTGACTTGCTAAGGGTTCTCTTAAAAAAGAAATAAAAGAAGATTGCAATTCCAAATACAGTGTGTAGCTGCTTCATTCCCTCCCTTCCTTTCCTTTCTGTTCCTATTCAGCCAGCCTTAGTGTTCGCCTCACATTGAAACTATGAAGTGTTTTAAAAAGGAGTCTGGGGAGCACCTGGGTGGCTCAGGTGGTTAAGCATCTGCCTTTGGCTCAGGTCATGATCCTGGGATCCTGGGATGGAGCCCCACATTGGGCTCCCTCCTCAGTGGGGAGCCCCCTTCTTCCTCTCCCACTCCCCCTGCTTGTGCTCTCTCTCACTCACTCTCTCACTCTGTCAAATAAATAAATAAAATCTTAAAAAAAGAACAATGATTAAAAAAAAAAAAGGGAGCCTGGGACATTTTGTACTTAAATAGCATGAATCATGGGTGTGCCAGGTATATTCTTGGCCTACTAGCAGAACCACACAGCAAAACCATTCTTCTAAGTGGCACTGGTTGTCTCCAAGGATGGACGGGTCACAGAGTGACTTCTCCTTGGACCACAGCTGAGTCCTCCTTCAGGAGGAGAGCCTACATTACTATGATCACGCGGACTCTGTTCTTAGACAAGCACACTCTAACTAACCCCTAGGAGCTCTTCATGTCAGCTCCGCTGCACACCTCCTCCAGGAAGCTTTCCTTGACCATCCTCCTATAGCTGGGCTAAGTCCTTGTTTTTTGTTTTTTTAAATATCTCCCATGCATCTCTCAATCACTGCACTTAGCATATTGTTTTATGGTGTTCAGGTATCAGTCTGCCTCCCTACACACCCTAGAGCTCCTTAAGAGCTCCTTAAGTGAATGGATTCTATCTTATTTGTATTATCCCCATAGCCTGGCATATGGTAAGCATGCAATGATTCTGAATGAATGAATGAATGAATGAATGAATGAATGACTTAAAATTACTACTTACGAGGGAAGTTCCTGACATGACTGACTGGGAATCAGTCAATATAAGTCTCTTCGAACTGGTCATGGACTTGGTGACTTCTGGAGGCTTCACTGCGGTTTCTTCCTGTCTCGCAGCCCTCTCCTCCTGTGCTGCTCCAGGCTTTTCCTCTGTTTCTTCTCTGATGGCCTCCCCCTCCCCTCCTTCCTTCCCCTCCCCCCCTTCCTCCCCCTCCCCCCCTTTCTCCTCCACTCCTTCCTCTCCTTCCTCTTCCTCCTCCTCTTGCTCCTCTTCCTGCTGAGGCTCTTTCCGTACTAATATGTCATCTTCCTTTAATTCCTGTTGCATACTTTCCACCTCTCTATAATATTGGTTATACTCTTCTTCCAGTTCTGTTTCTTCATCTTCTTCTGCTTCTTCTAGTGGGGACTCCCCTGCATCTGACATTCTTCTTTGTGGAGTTTCCTTTAGAGAAATTTTGACCATAACAATCAGCAGTTCCCTCTGTTTCCCACTTTAATTTCCTGGTGCACTAACCTATCGATGAAGTATGCAATACCAGCTCTGGTTCCTTTCCACAGGAATGAAAAGAATCTCATACTTCTGGGAAAGCCTGTCCCAAATCTAAAGCCTATTGATGCCGGGGCCTCTCATCTTTCTAGGAATAACTTTAGAGCATTGTAACTCACTTTATATATATTCATATTCCCACAGGCAGCAAAATGACAACCCAGGCATTAACAACAATTCTAATAATGTAAATAAGGGCAGAAGCAGCGGCTTAGTGGTTAAAAGCATGGGCTTTGCAGTTGGCCTCTCCTAGCCCTGAATCCTGGTTCCACCACTCACTTGCTCTGTGACCTTGGGCAAGTCACTGTACCCCTCAGAGTCCAAATTCGCTCACAGGCAGAATAAAAATGAGAACCCTGAATTCTGGGGTTGAGATGACACGGAAAATGCTCAACGCAGCTGCCGCAGAGGGCTTGAGAAAGGCAGCAATCGTTTACAAAGTTTAACAGCCTTCTAACATAGTCTCATTTATTTCTTCCGACAAACTTGAGTTTGAGGCTCTGGGAGTTGAAGTGACTTACTCAGATCACACCGCTAGAAAGAGGCCGACCTCTCTAACGCTCGGTTCCTCAGCTGAAAAAAACATCGCTACGATTTCAAGCCCGGGGCCCTGAGCACGGGGCCTGCTCGGACTGCAAACTTTGCCCGCGCATCTTGGCGCGGGGCGGGGGGGGGGGGGGGGGGGGTGTCCAGGGGAGGGGAGGAAAGTGGGGGGGGCAGACACAACGCCCAGGCGCGGCTCCTTCCTCCAGCTCCGGTCTCTCTGAGGCCGCCCCGGGCCCCCGGCCAGGTGGGGCGAGCGCCCCCCACCCCGCGGGGCACCAGGGCCCCCGCCCCCGACTCACAGAGCGCGCCCTCCGACGGCCTCAAAGGCCCGGCCCTCCCGCCGCCTGGACCGCTCTGTCACCTCCGCAGCCTCCAGCGGCCGCCGCTTTCTCCCGCACGCGCTCCCTAGCTACGGTTGCCACCCAAGCCCCGTCCCCAAGGTAACCGCCGCCGCGGCGACCGGCCGTGAAGCGGGAGGGCCGGCACACCCCCCGGCGGTCCCCGGGGAGAAGCGCGGCTGCGGCCCCCGCGGCCAAATCAGCCTTCCTCGTCCCGACGACACTTTCTTCAGCTCCCTCCCCCAGCTTCTTCCCAAGGCGCCGCCGAAGCCAGAGAAGGCGCAGCGGTGGCTACCTGCAGTTCTGACTTTCTGAAGGCCTGACGACGCGAAGTACGAGCTGTTTGGTAAAATTCTCTTTGCCAAAAGCGAACTGAATTTGCTGGTCTCTGAGACGCAGCACTTTCTCAAAGGCACTACATGTTGGGCGCAGTATTTTAGCTGGCTGGGATGACACACTACGTAGGCTACATTATCTTGCTGTTCTTACCACAAAATGTGTCTGCAAAACCAGCTTAGTTCAACCTATTAGGATCATTTCAAAATGACTCTCAGCTACGATCTCACACACCATCCTGAGGTTTCTAAAAGGAGACCTGCAGGAAGCCAGCCAAAGGCACTGACGCGGAACAGTGCTGCTCTCATTTTAGGAGAACGTCAAGGATTCTCCTCCCCCCCCCCACCCCCAAGACCCAACGCCGGCTGATTAATAAGCATGCATCTCAAAAGAAAAAAAAAAGGAACAAACTGGATGGTACAAGCTGTGTTTATTATAGTCTAGGGCTTATAAAGAGAGATTGGAAAACACTTGGAATCAGAACACACACACAATTTAAACAGCAAATGCTGGTAAGCACGGCATGTCTGTGGCTACAAGGGGGTGGTGCATGTGGATGTAACTTTTGGGGAACACACTCAACAGGAAGGTTTTCCAGCTGAGCATGAGAATCCATGGCTGGAAAAGCACGCCCCAGTGTTGACTCCTGTCAGGGCAAGCTGGTTTCTGCATCCAACCCAGGCAAATCCATTCCCAAGGAACCCAGGCATGCCTCAGCAGAATGGGCCACACCACCCCGAGACACAAAGTGGTGCACAAGAAATGGGGAAATAAACACTGGGATAAGGTGAAGAGAGAAAGTAAAACACAGGGTCACTAAGAATCACTGAAACCCACGTTGCCATGTGAAAGGGAAAATAAAAGGAAGAAGGAATCAGCATTTTCAAGAAGTCAGATCTGCACACACTGCTGGTTCCCATCAGCGATCAAGCACACCCTGGCAGTTTACAAACTTCTGTTGATCTGAGGGAAGGATGAGGAGGTTCAATTATAAAAAATCAATTTAGAAGGTAATTTGCAAGGCTTTTTATTCCAGAAACGAACGGAGCTTGCTGCCCTCTGGTGGTTTACAGAAGAGGAAGTGGACACTGCATTTAGCTGCACGGAGAGCTTCCTGGTTTTCCCTATTCTTCAAGGGAGCAGTTGTGGCCCCAGAGGATATAATTTCTGTATCCAGAGCAGCAATGCCACAATGCAAATGCAGATGGTGCAAACGCCATTCACTAAAGTATCATGTTTGTTCTGTCCAATTTTTTTTTTTTTAATAAGCTCTACACCCAACATGGGGCTTGAACCTACAACTCGAAATCAAGAGTTGTATGCTCCACTGACTGAGCAAGCTAGGCACCCCTGTTCAACTTTCTATAAGAGTGTTCTAATTCCTGTCTGAGCTTTGGTTTGAGAAGTTCATAAGAAATTCAGTTGGCACTACATGTTAACTAAATTTAATTTAAATAAAAAATTCAAAAAAAAATCCAGTTGGGGTGATAACATGGTCATATCAGCACTGAAACCTGTGTTTATTTGGGGAAAAAAAATCCTAAAAGAATAAAGTCCTATCAGCACCTACCAGAATAACTCCCGCCCACTGGCCCACAATCCAGAGGACTCCCATTTAGGGCCATGGCCTAATTTGCAAAAGATGCCAAGCACAAGTCAAGTTAACAATGCCTTAATCCCAAGAGGTTACACTGGGAGGCCACAGCATTTCCTTCACCCAGAAGTTCAGGTTTCCAGCCTCTTACAGATCCTTAAGCTTCAGGGAGAGAAGAGAAGGAAGAAATTCCCACCAGACCCACGTCCAGGACAAGGGAAGATGTTTTCCTATTACTGTTCCCCAGGGACAATCATCTTTGCAAAGGAATAATGTTGCAGCTGTTAGAAAAAAAGAAAAGGAACAACATAAGTTTGGTGGCTCGTTCAGAAGACCAGAAAGTGAGCCCTCTGAGTGTTTCACCTGCATTCTTTAATTCTTTTAAAGCAAATGCCCAGTTATTGAAAGAACCAGAGTGACCAGGGCTCCCTCTGCCTCCATACCTGCAATCTCATTCCCGCCGCAGGTGCTTATCAGGAGTTTCTACAGGTGATCTGGGGAACACCCTCATTCCCAGTGGCCCCCTCCCTTCCTCCCCAGAGCTTTAGGGCTGACACACACTCAAGTGACAACTGACAGGGCGTTGTCAGCGAGCAGAAATGATACTTTACCCCAGCAGTCCTTTTCCTGCCCAGCGGGTCGGGACAAGTCTAAGCTGGTATTTCTCCCCTCTGCGGATCACTGTCACATTCAGGGCTTTCTGAAAGGAAAATAAGCTCATTTTATAGTCAACCTGTTTAGTATTCAAAGAGATTCAGATTAAAATGCCAAGATACTGACTTTTGCACAACAGAGTGGTAAGGATGCTTATATTAAGCAGAGTCCTGCAGTTGTCAAGAGTGTGGGGAATGTGACACTCTTGGGGCAGCCGATGGGCCACAAACTGGTAGCGTCTTCCTGGACAAACACGTCTCTCCACCAAAAAAAAAAAATCTTTAAAAAGGCACACATGAGATACATTTTGCAGAAGTACGAGATGATATATGAACAAAGTGTTCCTTCTAGGACTGTTTATAAATTCAAAACCTGAAAACACCCAAAATATCCCTCGATAAGGTATTATTCAAATATAGCATAGTGAATGAAGCAGTTTTAGTAAAAACAAAACGAGCAAAGTATGAACCCATCTGAATATACGTTTTTGTGTTTTTTATTTTTTATTTATTTTTTAAATTCTTTTTTAAGTAGGCTCCATGCCCAGTGTGGGGCTTGAACTCTCGACCCTGAGATCAAGAGTTGCATGCTCTACCAACTGAGCCAGCCAGGTACCCCTGAATATACCTTCTAAAAGGGCATATATATATTGCTTCATGATACAAAACTTTCTGGAAGATATACAAAAAAACTGTTAACAATGGTTACTTGCAGAGAGAAGCACTAGGAGTCTGGAGTGAAAGAAGATGACATTTATTTTTGTATCTTTTTTTTCTTTTTTCTTTAAAGATTTTATTTATTTGAGAGAGAGCAAGTGAGAGAGCACAAGCAGGGGGAATGGCAGAGGGAAAGGGAGAAGCGTACCCCCTGCTCAGACTCCAGGTCCCCTGCTCAGACTCCAGGTCCAATTCCAGGACCCAGGGATCATGACCTGAGCTGAAGGCAGATGCTTAACAAACTGAGCACCCAGGCACCCCTACTTTTATAACTTTCTGTACCATTAATTTGTTTTTACCATGTGTATTACTTTGATGTAAAAAATTAAAATAGAATACATATGAAGGTAACTTACAAATTACAAGTGCATCAAAATCTAGAACGTTGTGCATCAAAGGACACTATCAACAGAGTATATCAACAGAGTGAAGGGCGCCTGGGTGGCTCAGTTGGTTAAGCGACTGCCTTTGGCTCAGGTCGTGATCCTGGAGTCCCAGGATCGAGTCCCACATCGGGCTCCCTGCTGCTCAGCAGGGAGTCTGCTTCTCCCTCTGACCCTCCCCCCTCTCATGTGCTCTCTCTCTCTCTCTCATTCTCGCTCTCTCAAATAAATAAATAAAATCTTTAAAAAAAAAAAAAGAGTGAAAAATAACTCACAGAATGGGAGAAAATATTGGCAAATCATATATCTGAAAAGGGATTAATATCCAGAATATGTAAAGAACTCCTACAACTCACAACAATAGCAAACAACCCAATTAAAAAATAAGCAAAAAACACAAGTAGACATTTCTCCAAAAAGGAGAAATAAACGGCCAAAAGCACATGAAAAGATGCTCCACATCACTAATCATTAAAGAAATACAAATCAAAACCACAATGAGGTATCACTACACATCCACTAGGTCGGCTACTATCCAAAAACAGAAATGACAAGAGCTGGCGAGGATGTGGAGAAACTGGAGCCCTTGTGCACTGCTGGGGGGAATGAAAAATGGCCAGCCGCTGTGGAAAATAGTATGGCTGTTCCTCAAAAAACTGATAAAAGGCTTACCACATAATCCTGCAACTTTTTTTCAAAGATTTATTTATTTGAGAGAGAGAGAAAGCGTGCAGGTGGAAGGGCAGAGGGAGTCCCAAGCCGACACCGCTCTGTGCGTGGAGCCCCAAGAGGGGCCTGATCTCATGATCCCGAGGATGAAAAACCTGAGCCAAAACCAAGAGTCAGACGCCTAACCGACTGCACTACCCAGAAGCCCCCACATAATCCTGCAATTAAACCTCTTGGTATATACCCCAAGAATTGAAAGCAGGGCCTCGAATAGGTATTTGTATACCCCCGTTCATAGCAGCATTATTCATAACAGTCAAAAGATAGAAGCCAACCAAGTGTCCATCAATGGACGAATGGATAAACAAAACGTGGTCTATTCACCCAACGGAATATTATTCAGCCTTAAAGAGGAAGGAAATTCGGACACACACAATATGAATGGACCATGGACATTATGCTAAGTGAAATCCACCAGCCACAGAAGGAGCAATAGCGTCTGATTCCACTGATAGGTGCAAATTCCACTGAGAGCAAATTCATAGAGACAGAAAGCAGATTAGTGGTCACCAGAGGTTTGGGGAGAGGAGAATGGAAAGTCAGTGTTTAACATGTACAGAGTTTCAGTTTGGAAAGTTGAAAAAGTTCTATGGATGGATGGAGGAGATGGCTGCAGAACAATGCCAAAGAACTACACACTTGGAAATGGTTAAAGTGTTTACCTTTTATGTTATGTATATTTTCTCACAATTTTTTTTAAAGATTTTATTTATTCATTTGAGACAGATGCAGAGAGACAGAGAGCATGAGCAGAGGCAGAGGCAGAGGGAGAAGCAGACTCCCCGTTGACCAGGGAGCCTGACGTGGGGCTCGATCCCAGGACCCTGGGATCATGACCTGAGCCGAAGGCAGACACTTAACCATCTGAGCCACCCAGGCGCCCCATTTGCCACAATTTTTAAGATGATGGCAGGGTGCCTGGGTGGCTCAGTCATTAAGCATCTGCCTTCGGCTCAGGTCATGATCCCAGGGTCCTGGGATCGAGCCCCGTATCAGACTCCCTCCTCCGCGGGAAGCCTGCTTCTCCCTCTCCCACTCCCCCTGTTTGTGTTCCCTTTCTCACTGTGTCTCTGTCAAATAAATAAATAAAATCTTTTAAAAAATAAAAATAAATAAAATTATGGCAGATCTTTTTTTTTTTAAAGGTTTTATTTATTTATTTATTTGACAGAGAGAGAGACACACACAACGAGAGAGGGAACACAAGCAGGGGGAGTGGGAGAGGGAGAAGCAGGCTCCCCCACCGAGCAGGGAGCCCGATGTGGGGCTCGATCCCAGGACCCTGGGATCATGACCTGAGCCGAAGGCAGATGCTTAACAACCGAGCCACCCAGGTGCCCCTGTCTTCTTTTCCAAAAAGCAATCACTATAGATATATTCATCCACACTTAGGAAATGTGTGAGAGACACATTGATGTGCTTCTAGTTCTAGAAATCTAGACAAGATATGATGTTTAGACAAGCTAGAAACACAGAGGTCACCCTTGACATGGGCTGGGCATCATATTAAAGCCCATATACTTACATCCTAAAGGTCTCTCTAATTTACCCACTTCCTTCCACCTCCAGCCCATTCACCAGTTACCATCACCCCTTGACCAGGCTGCTAAAACTGTCAGCCCTCCAATCAGCTCTCTACCTAGCATCTGGAGAAATCTTTCCAAGACACAAAGCTGCTTACATTTGTTACCCTCAGTTTGTAAGTGTGCATGGCTCTCTACTGCTCCTCATGAAAAAAGAACGAAACCTTGATAGGACCACAAGGCCTCATGAAGTCTGGCCCCTGCCAACTTCCCAGATCCACCTCGTCCCTGCCTACTCCCTTCCTCCTTGCTCTGGGCTCCAACCGTCTTCTCTGGCCCTCAGGGACATGACCCTGCTGGAAGGCTCCTCTTGCCATCTCCCTGCCAGTCTCCGGCCTTGATCAACTTCTTTTTTTTAAGATTTTATCTTCTTTAAGTAATCTCCAACACAACATGGGGCTTGAACTCACAACCCCAAGATCAAGAGTCACATGCTCCACCGACTGAGGTAGCCAGGCAACCCCAGACCTTGATCAGCTTCTAACACTCACAGGTCATGTCCTCAGGAAGGTTATCCTAACCCCATCATTGCTCTCCTAGCCTTCTGGAACTTTCCCTTCATGACACTCATGAGGGTGTATAATTACGTTTGACTAATGTTTGTCTTCCCCACCAAAGTGTTCCCGAGGCAAGGGCCTTCTGTTCATCTGTGTTGTTCCCGCTCTAGTCCAGCACTCAAACAGAGCAGGGAAGGGACTTAGAAGGGACAGACCCAGGACTTCCAAAATGTTTGCCCTACCTGATGCTTTACCCTAAAAATATATTATTTTTATTTATTTGGGACATAATTCATATACAATAAACCCATTTTAAAGTATACAATTCAGTGGGTTTTAGTATATTCAGACATTTGTACAACCATGACTACCACCTGATTGAAGAACATTTTCATCACCCAAAAGGACCCCTGCACCCATTAGCAGTCAGTCCCCATTCCAGCCTCCACTCAGCTCGGGGCGACCAACCACCAACATGCTTCCCATCTCTGCAGATCTGCCTGTTCTGGACACTTCACGTAAACAGAATTCTAAAATACGCAGCCCTTTGTGTCTGGCTTCTTTTACTCAGCACAAATCCTTTCAAGGTTCATCCATGTTATAGCATGTCAGCACTCCATTCCTTTCCACAGCTCAATACGACATGTGTTGTTTATAATAAAGACGACTCTTTTTTAAGATTTTCTTTTTTCCCTTGAAAATGCATGCATTTGATGCAGAAACTGAGCTTTGGGAAGACACCAAAAGAAAGAGAGATTTGTCTACAAGAGTATTAATTTCCAGGGGCGCCTGGGTGGCTCAGTCGTTAAAGTGTCTGCCTTTGACTCAGGTCATGATCTCAGGGTCCTGGGATCGAGCCCCGCCTTGGGCTCCCTGCTCAGTGGGAAGCCTGCTTCTCCCTCTCCCACCCCCCTGCTCGTGTTCCCTCTCTGTCTCTTTCTCTGTCAAATAAACAAAATCATCTTAAAAAAAAAAAAAAAGAGTATTAATTTCCAGGTTTCCATAAAATTGGAAACTACCTAAATACCTAACAACAGAATGTGGTGGGGTTTTTTGTATCATTTTTCTAAAGTCACAAAGCTGACCCTTGATTCTCAAGTTGGACTCTGGTTCCAGGAGGATCCAGGGCCCTGAGGGG